GATATAAACAGGATTTACTTTTGTAACCGGGATTTTGACACGTCCGGAACGTGACGCCGGCATTAAAAAGTATCGACGTCTTTCGCGGAACCTTTAATAGACTTTGGTCTGTAGTTTTTCCTCGTCGATGTATATGTCTTAACTATTTCTATTCGACTGTATTATATAATAGGTGACGTAGTGTGACTATTTCCACCGTCGAAACGAGCATCTTTGTTTCTCGGGATGTTCTTGATATCATTGTTTATAATTTAGGTAATATTCTCCGGAATAAAAAATTTTCTAGTAAAGTAATATAGTTGTTTTAGAAAGCGCCACAGATAAATCGTCATTCGACGAGTGGAAAATAGCTAAACTAAGAGTATTTCCGTCGATAATTGCTTACGTCATTCGAGTACGCTTCCGTTTTCCGGTGGAAAATAATCCTCTTCCGATCTTTGATAGATGCCGGATTCGAAAAACCCACTCGAATTTTGTGCAGGAAAGCGAGACCCGGGTTATGTTCCGGTTCCATACAAAATTGCTCTATCCGATGATTAATTAAGTCTACGAGAAACGGCGAAGTTTAATATACGCTCGGCACACGCCGGTTTTTAACTGTGTTAAGAGGGAGGTAGAATCCCCTGGCGTAATCCGACACCTTCGAATTTCGAATGTTTCCGAGGCAGACGAATAATTAGGCCACCTATAACGTGTTTTAAATTAATTTTTCAAAGGGAAATCGAAATTTCGTAAATCGACGAGTCGTGCCAAACGGACCACGTCCGCAATTTTATTTATTAATGACTGGACTTCTGGTTATAGTTTTTACGAAATATTAGTTGTAGGAAATCAAATAAAATACTATCTTTATCAACTTTTTCACGAAATTCCTCCTTTCAGTTTTCCCGTTTTAACGCTGTAGGATTATTTAAATGGACAATTTCTATGATTATAGAGTAACAAATCTCTTAATTCTCACAAGTAACTTAATTCTCTAGTAAATCTCTCTAATGCTCATTACATTCGTTCGATTGTTCATTATTTTTATTTTTAAACCCGAAATTCTAATAAAATTCTGGCCTCCATCTTAGCCGGAAGTCGTTGGGATCGGTTCTTGCCAATTTTACTTACTAAATCGAAGGTGGTTTGAAGGATTTTAATATCAAATTGTTAAAATAACCCGGTTTCTACATTATTCCACCAATATCCGCGTGACGATCTTTGCCGTCTACGTCGGTCCACCTTAATAATTTATCTAGGGAGGCGAATAAATTAATAGTAATCATTTTGGGTGGGCGAATTGGGCGCGAAAGCCTTTAGAGAGGTTTCCTACGAGATTTCTCGAGTTCTCCGGCTCCTTTACGTTCCGCTTCTGGGAAAAGCCTAGGACTTCATCGGTTCCTTTGTCGCGTATTGGCGAGTATTATAAATAAAGCGTGTATATAGCAGGGCTGTGGGTGGAGTCGGAGTCGTCAAAAATCCACCGATTCCGACTCCCCGACTTTGCATATACACTCACTGCCAAAAGTTAAGCACGGAGCAATAAACTGCAAAAAAATCGACAAATACATCTGTGATTGACACAAAATGTGGCAGGACAGTAGCAAATATGTTTATGCATGAAACAACACAAAGAATTACATAGAAAAATGAAAACAATATTGAATTTTCATAAAGCATAAGATGAAATCATATTGGAATCATTAATAAAATGATGTTTAAATGCAAAACAAACAAACAAAACCCACATTATAGGGTAAATGGTCACCCCTTATCTTTACACAAAGTTTACATCATGTTACCATGCTTTCCATGAGGTGATCAACCACTCCAGAGTCAAATAAGTTCCATTCCTCCTGTAGAGTAGTTTGCAACTCTGTGAGAGTGTCAGGGGGTGGGAAACGTGCACACACAGCACGGCCGAGGGCATCCCAAAGATTCTCAATGGGATTGAGGGCTGGCAAATACACCGGCCAATCCATACCTGCGATTCCCTCTCTCTCGAGGTAGTCGTCAACGAAGGCAGCTCTAGGGGGTCATGTGTTATCATCCATTAAAACAAAAGCAGGACCAACTGCTGCAGCATACAATTTCACAATAGGTTTGAGGACTTCATCCCGATACCGGACAGCAGTTACAGAACCCCTTCGATAGATGTGCAGGTCGGTGCAATATCCCAACGAAATGCCTGCCCATACCATAACACTTCCACCTCGGAATGCGTGATGCTCGATAATGTTCTGAGGTCAGTTGCGTGTGCCTTTTTCTCTCCATACTCTTACACGTTTGTCATCTGGCTCCAGGGAAAATCGCGACTCATCCGTGAACATAACGTTGCCTCAATCAGACACAGTCCAATTCGCATGTTGCCGACACCACTTTAATCATGTGCCTTTGAATTGGACAGATAGTGGAACACAAACTCGTGGTACCCGGGCATACAGTCCGTTCATGTGTAGCCTTCGGCGCACAGTAGTAGCAGATATCGTTTTACCAATAGCTGCAGCAATCATCAATGTCATACGTGTAGAGGTTGCTCTTTGATTCCGCTTGGCTACAACAGCAATATAGCAATCTTCTGCAGGGATCGTAACTCTTGGGCAACCAGCCACAGGTCTTCGGACAACTGTTTGGCTTGTTTGGAATTGTTTCCATAACCGTGAAATGACAGAATGATGAACACCGAAGAAAAGAGCAACATCTGTGATTGATTGTCCTGTTTCAAGGCGTCCCATACACAGCCAGTGCTCACTGTCTGTCATTCGTCCTCTGGAAGTCATAGAAACACATCAGTCATGCACACTAATTGTACGACAGTTCTCCACACTTTTTCTCGGCACTTACATGCAACTCCTCTCCCACTTCAGAAGGCTGGCTTCTTATACGACTGTGTGTTTTGCATATTTCGCGACACGTAATCATGATTGATAGTAACATAACATATTTGCATACTTCCACCTACCTCTGCAGTGAATTGCAACCTCTCAAATGCAGATTGCTTTCCAAACATGAACATTTTCTGCTCTGTGCTTAACTTTTGGAAGTGAGTGTAAAACGGAAAGTATCGGAATCGTGTCAAATTTGACCCTCCGAGTTATTTTTTTTTTCCCTTGCAAATCTATACGTTTGGAGACCTCCCGTACCAAATAAAGGGAGAAAATCCGCGTGTGTATGTGTTTGGTGTCTAATTTGTTTAATATCTCAGAATGGGTAGTTTAAAAAACGAAATTTGGCTTGTGTATAAAGGGGCATTAATGCTATTAAATGTTAATTCTTAATTGAAGGTCGACAGGGTGGAGACATAGAAGGGGTCATATTTTCGGTGTGATCGAACGTAAATTAAGCTTTGTCATTTTATAGTAAAACCCGTTTAAGATGGTCTCGCCCGAGATGGTTTTTCTCCTAAGTCGTTCAAATTCTACTGCGGAGTCGAAAGATGTCGCCGGTCCAGAAGAATGATAGAGACTCGCCTTTTTCAACCTTTACGTTTTAATAGAACTCTATTTATTGAAGATTTAATTCTGAGGTCACGCGATGACATCAGACTTCCCGGGCCTGGTCGGAGTCGTAGATTTTACACGACTCCATAGCTCTGGTATACGGTAATCGGTGGAACTCCATTGTTAATTTAATCGCTGGATATCAGCGCCTCCTTGTATTCGTTCATTACTATGTTTATACCGACCATTATTAGCATGGTTTTTTGTATTTTTCTTTTAAATTGATAAACATATCCTCATTAGGATACTATATAATAACGTCTAACATTAGACAAGCGATATCATCGCTTTCCGAATGGATAGAATAGTAGTACAATTATTAAACGAAATATAAAATTTATAAAGCGAATGTACTGTACAGTACAGTACATAAGTTTAATTAACACAATTCCACTATACAATTTAATAATCTTGCCTTCCAGAACTTTATTAACAATAAGATTTTTCGATGCTGTTATCCAAAGTTCACATCTGTGAGAAACATGCAACAAAACTAACTATTATCCCAATTATTTCATTTTCTACTTAATTCTCGAATAATTGAAACTTTTTATATTTATATTATTTAACTTTTGGTATTTATAATTAAATTTTATTTAGAACGTGTTGCGTGTCTATAACAGCGTAATTAACTACATATACCCCCCATAACACTGCTGATAATTCCGTTTTATATGAATTCCGTGTTGTACAGTACGAGTCACTTAGATTTTACAGATACGTGCGCCGGGCTGTGAACGGCAATATGAAATTCATATAAAATGGAATTATCAACAGTGTTATGGAGGTCTACTGTATAGAATACTTTCTTATAACAATCTAAATGTCCTTAAAATTTGGATAAATTATATATATAAATTTAGATTATGAATTGTAACTATCAAATGTAATCGCTATTTGATCAAATTCGTTTACCTTTCTTCTTCGGGATATGGATTTAATCGGTTTCCAGTCGAAGACATTGTCGTAAAGCTTGCAAACATGCGATAAAACCTGGTATAACCAGCGAGTCTACACAACCTTTACTAGAGGGCGACGAATTTAACGATGGAGTTTCACCGTTTACCATATACACACTTTGAAATAATCTCCGGTTTTTGGCGGAACCTATTCCGAGACGTCGAGTCATTAATCTCCATTGGTGTTTTATATGGTATAGGAATATTCGAGAAATTAAATTTACTTTTGGAAAAGGTCGATCTACACTCGAGGAAGGAAGCCGATCCTTATATAGGTTTAAACCTCCCACAATGGTATTCGAAATACGACGGTGCCTCGCATTTCGAATTCCAAACAGATTTTCTCCGTTAGGAAAAAAAGAAAGCCCGGACCCTAAACGACAAACTCGCATTTACTATAATTTACGTATTTTACCTTAGTGGGGAGCAGAGTGAAAAACTTTTCCGTCAGGCACTCGGACGTGGCAGTTAATAGGTAGGGAGGGGTTACGTATACACACGGTTCGAAGATAGAATCGTCGTCGATTTCGGCGAAACCGCGCGTCAGAAAACGGCCGGATAAAGTTTTCGAAAATGATTTTTATTTTAAAATAATAATACAATTATTCGTGGCAGAAAGGGCGAGTCCGCGTACCAAAACAATTCTTTGACTAAAATATTGGCAGTGAAAATTGTTTTACGTTACGCGACGCCTCTCCGTAAACTCCCGTTCCGACCCGGGAGGGGGAGGCGAGGCAGTCCGTATGTACAAAATGTAAACGGTCGTCGGTCACGCGGTATGAAAAAATAGAGGCTTTAAAAATACGGCAGACGCCTTCGTCCCCCGACGAAAATCAAAATTCCGACGAAAGTGGGCGCGACGCCCGGAAGGAACGTCGGGCCGCCGACGGCAGTGATTGGCCGATTTCGTTTTAAAACACGGGGAAGTTTCCTCCCGAGGTCAGACGGTGGATGTCCAGGCGCTTCTGATTCCCACCTTCTCCGCCAGGTGATCGAAGAGCGACTGTCCCGGTTCCGTGCCGTTTTTAAAATGGAAACCGATGGCGGCCGAGTAACAATTGTAGAAAATGGTGCGCACCTTTTCCAGCTTCTCCCTTCTCGTGCCCTGCGGGCAGCCGTCTCTGGGAGCTCTCTCCGGGTCTTGGTAACCGTGGTTTCTATTCGACGGGAGGAAAAAAGACCGTTAACCCATCCGACCGGAGCAAAGGAGAAGGAAGAAGGGGGCCGGAATACTTACGTGCTCTGTCTGTTCGTATTTTGATTTAATTCTCGGGTGGGAGAACTTATAGAACTCCTGGTGGAAGCGGAATCCCTGACACTTCCCGTTCCAGTGATGAACTGCCAACTGAAATTCGCAAAAAAAAAAGTGGTAATTCGTAATTGGAACGTTCTTTAATTTTTCGGACATAAAACGAAACCGGAAATTACTTTGAACGTTTAGCGGCAATTCTTTAGAAAGCAAAAACCATTCGAAATGGACGGATTTCATACTCTTTCACTGTGGCTGTCAAAAAAGTGTAGTCATGTTGCTGTTAATTGTAATTTTAATTTGGTCACTACGTTGTGTGTTTATTCACTTTTGATTACTATAATTATCTGAGTTATAGCACTGTTGCTATCTGGCCATTTCTCGCACTGAGACGCGCCAGTTTACCGAGAGGGCGCAGGCCTAGATCATCATTGGTTGTCCTTAGACACCAACTGGTAAATAATTGTCACGCGTGCCTACACGCAATGCTGTAAACAACCACGTGCTACAAGACACATTTTCGCACAAACAACCCAATAAACATGCCAGAAGACGGAAAGGCCGGACTAGCGAATGTGTACTATAGTAAGTTGTTAATAAATTGCTACACGACTAATAAAAAAAAAATTCAAAACGAAGTATTATAAGATTGTGTCTATGCCGTTTTATCTATAAAAAAGAATGTAAACTTTCACGCATTAATTTAGAATTTGGCCATCGACGAATCGGCACTTACCTTCCACAACCGATGGACGAAGTACTTTCGGATCTCTGCCGAATGCTGTTGGGGACGGCGACCGGACTAGTGGAAATTTGCACGTAGTAATTATCGCCCTCTTTTAAATTATTGGCCCGATTACCGTCTTGATTCTTTATCGTCTCTTCGGATGCGTCTTCCGCAATGGGCTGAGGACAGGAAACCATCCGATGGCAAGGATGAGGATAGTACGACTGTATGTTGGAAGGAATGTTGCTAAACGAGTTCAAACTGTTTTAACGGAGTTCCCCCATCGTCAAATAAGCATTTATTGCTACATTACAGAGACCCTTACCCGTTTGAATGAACGGTAGCTGTCATTTCGTCACCGGAATCTTGGCAAGGCATGGAAAAGTAGGCGGGTGGATTATCCTGACTGCGACTGCTGACCGAACTGCTGCAGCTATTTAGACTAGTATTACTTCCGTGAGCCCCGGAATTTTCTAAAATTAAAATTTTTCAAATATACATATGTACAAAAACAGTTACTACGTTTTAAAATCTGCTATATTTGTTAAAGTTTTTCTAAGAACATACAATTAATCTTAAAACTTCCATCTTGTCAAAACGCCAGAGTAAATGTGCAATGAGAATAACACTGTGCCAATGATAATTTGTTTTTAGCTATTTTAAATATTATTTAATCTTTAAGTCATCCTAACAGATACCAAATAGATTATTAAGGATGCTGGCACCTATCCATGTGCAGAGGTGTGCCCGGATCACCTCCTCTTATTTGCAAAAGTCGAAATGAGGTTGGAGATGATCACAAAGAGGAAAAAAGAAATGAAAAATGGGATGTCTAAGAAAATTTGAAAAGAAATAGTGTCTTGTTATTTGATTTTTTGTCCTTTTACTAAGAAATAGATGAAGAGAATGCTGAAGGACCAAATGAATTGTTGATATCAAGAAAGGAAAAGACCCATTCCACTGCTGCCACACAAATAAGAAAGTCAAACCCTGGGTTAGAGAGAAAATGAATATGTAGAGAACTGAACAATAAGCCAAAAAAGAGTGGTTTGAAAGAGAAATGTGAAGAAATTGAAAGGCTGGAGAGGTCAAAAAGATTTGAACTAATATATGATAAAGTTAATTTGGTTCAGAAGGGCTGAGTGTATAGTATCTATGTATTTGTTCTATCTGTGCATGATCTTCTCTTTAATACAGTAGTTAATCTGTACAGAGCAGAAGATAGAAGAAAGTGATGTTAGAAAGAATTAGGCTTTGAGGTGTGATCTATGATACAGGTATGTGGCCTGACAACTGAGGAATATTTTAATTCCCATTCCAAAGAAAGATATGAGGTCCCAGGCTCAGTCCCTGTAAATAGTAGTATTTTTATAATTTAGTCAAAACAAATTTCAACAGAAAAGAAAATTTTAGAAATGAGAAAGGAATGACAGAATGGAAATGTTATCTCTGTCAGAATCTAACAAAACTTTCCTGAGATGGTTACTCTACATAATAGTGGAGAAAAATTCAGATTGGTTGTCAACAATCTCTCTCCATATAATATTTCTGGACATGTTCTGATTCAAGAAGCAGACCAAAAGATACAAAAGGTCATATAGTTCAATATCCACAAGTTGTCCAAGTAAATCTCCACCCAATTTGTCATTGTTCAAATGACTAGCCAATGCCTCTACTGATTACTCACTGAGTGAACTATCTACAGTTAAACTATAGAAGTCACTATTCAAACTAGTACCAACATTAGAAGGTCTACGATAAAAGACTCAGCCTATTCACAAGGTAAATATATACTTATAGCAAGTTGTAAACTCTCTCTCTATTAGGACCTAGATCATAAAGTAGTTTTAAGTTAGAAATGGGATACCTGCATCAATAGTGGTAGTTCAATAATTCATGATTGATTTTTTGTTTTTGGTTTAATTATATGTTTATTAAATAAATTTTGTCATAGAGAGGTCTGGAAAGACACTCAATCTCTCTTATCTTCCCTCCTCCATTTGGACAGCTCACACGCATTCAGAAATGTGCAGAAAAGAACGATGTTTCTGTGTTCAGAAAGAAAAAAAACGATGGTATCAGAAGCTAATAGAGGAGCGCTTCATAGATTTCACATGAAGATTACAGAACAGTTAGCATTTTTCAGGTATGGGAGATCAGGCTTTTAAATTTAGTATATTAGAGCATCACCTGTATGGAAAACTAAACCCATTCATAAGGGAACCCAAACTATTGTTCCCTTACAGATGGGTTCAGAAAGAGAAGAAGCACTAGAGATGCAATAGGGGTTCTGAACCATAGAACAATACATTGAAAAAGAAAAGGGAATGTTGGTGTGTTTAATTGAACTAGAAAAGGCATTTGACAAAACTGACTGAGTATTAATCTTCTCTTCTTCCTCAAAATATCAATCAAATTTTCCCAATTTGTACAGCTAGAGCATAATAGTTAAAGTAGATGGTCAATACAGCAAGGAAATCAAGGTTGAAAAGAGTGTTAAGCAGGGGTACCACCTATCACTGCTTCTTTTCAACATACACTTGAAAGAGATGGTTATAGAATATCTAGAGAAAGAAGAAAACATTAAAATCAGGGGATGTCAGATTCAGTGCCTAAGGTATGCTGATGATATGGCAATTCTAGCAAAGAGCAAGGGTAAAATGGTTGGTTGGTGTTTTTTCACACAAGAGCCATATAGGCCAAGCTGCACCATGCTAATGATAAAAGAGAGGGAAAGAAAAGTCAACATTTGTATAAATAGTGACAAAATGGAACAAGTGAATAAGTTTAGATACTTTGTTACTTGTCTTAACTGAGAGCAGAAGTGGGAAAGCAATCAAGATGAGAATTAGTATGGTGAAAGAGGCATTTAGCAAAATGAAATAATTTTGTGAGCCTCCAAAATTAAATTGAGAAAAAGGCTGGTCAAATGCTACATTTGGAATGTTTTCCTCTATAGTGCTGAAACTTAGGCCTTGAGAATAGTGGCTGTGGAGAACAATAGAGAAAATCAGGTGAGAAATAGTCGTAAGAAAAGTCTCTGTAATACCCTCCTGTTTTTCACCAATAAAGAGGCAAAAAGCTAATTGGATGGAACGAGTTGGGAGGAAGGCTTATGGAAGGAAGAGTTGCAGACAAAGAAATGACAGAGAAGAATTAAAATGATGAATGATAAAGGAGGGTAGTTATAAGGAGCTAAAGACAGCAGCACAGGATAGAGTAGCATGGAAAAAGAGATAGTACTAATTGGACCTGTAGTTTTCTGCAGGTCCAATGAGTACTTATAACTAGCAGAAAACTAAAGAAGTTATGTAAAGTTTAATAACTTCAAACAGAACTGATAGTGTCCATGTTTAACACACATGATTCATTCAGTCTCACCATACTAAGTTTTGCCCCATTATCAGGATGTGGCAAAACTTGGGTGATAATAGATAGGCAAGATATCAATTACAAAATGAAATCCAGGTCTTAAAAATATATTGGCACTGTATGGCATACATGCAACTTAACTATTAATAATTCAAACGTTCTTTATAAATGAAATTTTAAAATGTTCAATTGCACAATGATTAAAGTTCTATTCTAACTGAATACTTAAGAATACTGATTCATAAGAATAGAATCACTCAAAACTTACCCAACAAAATACCAGGATCTATTTCAGATATATTTCCATCACTATCTTTCTGAAATCTCTCTTTATTTCTGTGTAAATAAAAATCTTTTTCAGATAAAAATGTATAAATTAAAATTAACAAGTTACAAAGCAACAGCAATTTCATCATAGAGAAAAGGATATTTAAGGCTTTAATTACAAAAGTTGCTATTGCAATTGCCTTTTAAGTGCGAGATAAAATCACATGTTAATAGTATGTTAAACAAGATTATATAATTATTAACAATAATTATTTAATAAAAACAAAGTTGAAAAATTTTTTGACCATTGGTTTATTCTCTCTTAGTATATATTCTCTAAATCATAAATTAATTTTATTTATGAATTTGATATATAAATTTGCTTGAAGTTAATTGGTCAGAAAAATTGACATTTGAAAATAATTTAAAATCTAGAAGTCTGCAGAAATAAAACATGAATTTGGTTTTGTAATTATGATTTATTCATTCTAATTATATATATATTAAATATAAATATATATATATATGACTGAATAAAGGATCTATTTTAGATTTCTGTAATATCAGATTTATTTATTTAAAAGTTTCATAAACCATCACTAGGATACAAACAAAGGCTAAATGAAGTTACATTTGGGAGTATAGTTAATTAACATAATACAAAAAATTACATTTCCAGTAAAAAAGGGGCCATAACATAGACCTGGAATGGGCAACCTTTTTCTATGTAAGGGCTGCATTTTGAAACTTTTGAAATGATGTGGGCCGCATACAAGAGAAAAGAGAAGATAAATGCCAGTAAATCACAATTATTTATTCATATATAATTATAAAATTAGCATTAGGTATACTTAATGTAGCTTCTGGAACTGATGTAAATGTAATATATTGGAAATTATTTGGTTAAATATTAGTCACTGTTAGTTTTAAATTAGTTTTGATGTGAGTCTGTTAGCCGATTTCTTGTTTAATTTTTACTAAATTCATTGCAAGAAAAACTATTCAAATACATAAGTTGTAGAAAATAATGTTTGAATTTTTGCTGCATACTTCCTTAAGCTGGAAAATTGATATATTTATTCATATTTTATGCAACACAGGCTGCAAAAAATATTAATGTTTGTAGAGAGGGTTAGTCAGATATGGTGCTATCACGATGTAGTGGAGAATAAATGTAGGAAATTTTTTAAGAATAATCCCACAAGTTTGTCTCATTTCTGTTTCAGAAAAAATCTTTTTAAACAGTTACATCTAGTAAAGAAAAAATCTTTATTGTCACACAATTCCTTTTTACGTGAATTTTTTTTGCAGTAATTTTTGGCTAAAATTTTTTTGTGGATATAGACATCGTTCTCCAATGCCACATGATCGCCCTTGATGGATATATCTGTCGATCACTGCAGAGTGGTTAATGCTGGCCACAGGTTACCCATCCTGGCATAGACTATTGTACAAGGTAATAAAGCAATTTCCCTGATTTCAAGCATCACTGTAAAAACTGCACTAGGAGAAACATGATCATGCACCAGAATTACAATATTCTTCAACAGAGAAATAATGAAATCCTCCAGTGGAGTGTATGGAACAAACGCTCTGTAAATTATAACAAGTGCGAGGCACTAGTCTGCACAAAGAAATCGAGAAGAAAACAACTGCAATGTCCCTTGAGCATTTACCTAGACGGGCATAAAATCAAAATAGCCCCTCACCTTAAGTACCTGGGGATTGTCATTGGCCCAACCCTCAACTGGGGTAGGCACATCGAGATGATCTGCCAGAAAGTAAAGCAAAAAACAAATATGCTTTATGAGATCTCCAGAAACACTTTTTATGTTGTCTAACATAAAAAAATGCAAAACTCCAGGCAGATGCTAAAGGTATATTAAAAAGCATTTATGATTGGAGCAACAACAACAAATTAGCAATCAATTATAATAAATGCAAATGTATAATCCTATCTAAAGGCAAAGAACTTAAAAAGCCCCTTAAGATTGTCATCAACAACCATAAAATCCAGAACACTCAATTTAAAGTATCTTGGGGTTACATTCTACCAGGGCCTTCGGAGGATTGTCCAACTCAATAACACCACCAATAAGGTCATAAAAAGATGTCCAATGTGTTACAAAGTATTTTGCTCATTTCCATTTTTTTTTAACAATTCCAAATCTTTTGGTGCCTTAAATATATTTACTATTTATTTCTTTAGATAACAATTGCCTTTGCAATTAAGCATAATCATTTAAAAGATATGATTTTGTAAAAATTTGTTAAAAATACTGTTGAACATGGCAATAGTAAATGGTAAATGATATAAAATGGCACCTGGTGGCAAACATCTGAAGTACATACTTGACAAGTTTACAACAATCAAACAATGAGTAATATCAACTGTACTTTACACCATGATTTAAACTTTGATGCTGCTACCACATTGCATTGTAATTCTTGCCACTGCCAACATTTACTAACTTGGAGTTAAAGAAGCTAATTTTTTTAAAAATTTTGTCAATAAACTAATTAGATAAAAATATAGACTTGAATTTGAGTACAAATCCATGTATTGTAACTTTAGCAATGTTGTCATATTCATTATTTTAAAAAATACAATGCAAAATAGATAATTAGGTGTACTGTACTTTGCATGACTCCATAAGTATAAACATCATAAACTGCCTTTTATACCTTTATACAAGTTAGTAGTCCTAATTAGCATGAATTTCAATTATCAAGAGTTTACTGTTTATAGTGATGAGTATGACATACCAAAATGCATAACAGAGAAGAAATCTAAATTTTTTTATTGCATGTCTCCTGGTTGTGGTTTTAAACCTGATACAATGAGTCCTAGATTTCTTTAGAAGTATCTCTCTAATAAGACAACTTATGAAAGAACGGCTAATATATTAAATATATTATTATTACAAAAACCTGCATTTCTTATTCACCTACAGAAGTTCTATATTTGTTAATAATTTTGTATTTCCTACAAATTCTTTGCATAGATTAACCTCTTATACCAGAAATATTATATCATTTTAACATGACTATATAGTATTATGTGAAAAGGAATGATCTAAGTTTCTCACTTAATTTCAAATCAGCATTAGGGTTTCAATTATATTAAATAATTATTTATAGAATGGTAGCAGAAATAATTAAATTTTATCATATTTAATGCATTATACTAAAATGTATGAAATATATAACTTATGGTCATGCATTAGAAATTAAATATTTGAAACTTACATATGAAATAGAGAAAATTCTTCAGAATTAAGATATTTCAAAAAATAGAAGCAAAAGAACATTATCTGAAACATCAAAATAAATCATTAATTTATTTTTAACTGAATAGAAAAAAATTTCAAAATTCAAAATACCTCTTCTCCTTTGTTCAGCCTATCTGGAAGATTATGACTGTAAATACAAAAAAATTTATACATACAAATGCACTAGTATATATTTAAAAAGAAAGAAATGTAGACAAACTGTATATCATATTTGATAATTTAAATAACTAAATATTTGAACTCAGCAAAACCCATTCTATTCTATAGAAGTGAAATCTGTAAAATAAAAAGAAAAAGTACAAACTGCTGAAATGAAATTTTCCCAAAAGATTGAAGGCTATACTTTAATGGATAAAATGAATAATAAAAATCAGTGTTTTGTCGTAGAGATGAAATCACTGTAATTAAATCTTGGAAGTTGGCTTTTAATATGGATAAGTTTGTTAAACTAAAAAAGTATGAAGCACGGAACAATGTTAAAGAAAAAGAAGCAGTTTTTAAGTGTTATGTTATCTAGAACACCACCAGAATAAACGTATGAGAGCCTGCTCCACTAGAAGTGCTGCTAAAACAAGAGATAGCAGGAAGAATTTGTATCAGGAACTGTTTCTAGAAGAGATAATAGGTATGTTGAGTGAAATGAAGGAAGCCATAGAAATGAAAATAGAAATGGAATTGCAATTAGTAAAAAACTTTTGTGGAAATGAATGGCAAGATAAATATATTGACAAAGAGCATTATTAAATTAGAGTCTGACCATGAATCTAGAATTGAGTAATAAATATGCAGGCTACTAGTGGTTTAATTAAAAGAATCAATATACTTAAAAACAGTTTAAGAAAGAGAAATTTATTATTATTTAATGTAATGATGAATGAATGGGAAAATTTATTAGAAACAAATGTCTAAGCTAATAAGGAAGTGTCCGGTTTATCAAATGTTATTCTTGATTGCATTAAAATTACAAAAAATTAACATAAATAATTCTATTGGGTTGATTACATGTGTTTCTTTTGAAGCAAAAAGAGAAATACTGAAAAGTTGGAAGAGTAACTGTAACAAACTTGAGGTCTCTGATTGGAGAAGGGCAATGCGCATAAGGGAGGATCTCTTCGTGGAATGCAGGGAAAAGAGAAAATATCAAATGAATAATTTTAGACAGGCCAGGAAAGAAGGAAAAATTGCATACTTCAAGGATGATAAATTTGATATGTGAAAACCTCAATGAGGATGGTTGTGCTACCAGGGAGTCAGTATGATACATTAAGAGTTCTTAGTTGGAACATGAATGAATGGAAGCAGGAATGTGAAATGGAGTATTGGAATATTGTGAAAAAGTTCCATATATTGTGCTGGATGGAAACTGGTTGAGAGAACTGATTTAAGGTAGCGACCAGCTGATCTTCTCCAGAATCTTTTTACTGTAACAAAGAAGTTTGGCAGGGGTCCCAAGTCCATTACTGTTTTCCTTACATATTGATGGTTTGGTAATAAGGTTGAACGAAATTCAAAAATTTATTGGTTTATGGATAGGAAATAACACATATATTAAAGTTCTGCTGTAATGAGATGATGTGGTGATAGTGGCTGACATCCCAGTAGAATTACAATTGGCTATTGACAGTCTGATGAGTGTTTCAATTGATAAGGACTTGCAGATTAATATTAAAAAAACAAAGTAGTGGTCTTTCAAAATGGAAACAGAAGATCATGCATCATGTAAATTTAAATGTTTTTGGATAAAGAAGAAATTGAAACAGACGAAAAATACAAGTATTTGGGTATTTCGTTTAAATACAATCTTACCATGAAAAACCACTTTGAATTACTAAGAAGCCAAAGGTGCCTTGGTGAAGTTAAGTAAAATATTTAATATCTCAGGGCTAACTTCGTGTTCCCTACATCTCAGATTATTTGACTCAATGGTTAAATCTGTTTTGTTGTATGGTGCTGCTCAGCTCTGGGATTTGGGGAATGTCAATATCTTTGAATCAATCCACAGAGAATTCCTAAAGAAATGTTGGGATTGAGATTTCATGCATCAAATGTTGCTGTTTTATGGGAAACCAGACGAATACCATTGAGAATCTTTTTTATAAAAGCAGTTTTAAAATATTACACAAGGATATTGGAATTACCTGAGGTTAGGCTACCTAGAATTAGCATGGAAAGAATGTGGATGAAACCAGAAAACAGTTCTTGGTGGTTGGACTTTAAAAGTTGGCTGGAGCAGCTGGGATTTGGTGAGATGGTTATGGAGAAACAGGCTGATAGATGGAAAGAGAAAATTCCAACCATGGTAATAAGATGTGTAGAATTGGAATTACAGGAAATGAAGCGTGTGTTTAATAGCTTAACAATACAGAATTATTTTAGTGTTGTAAAGCCTGATATGGCATGGCAGGTTATCTCACGGGTGATGAAGAAACAGATTGCGAGGATTAGACTAAATTGCATCTTCTCAAGGAGAGGTCCTTTGTGTCCAATCTGTAACCAGTTATATAGTTATAATGATTGGTGTTTTCACATGTTTTGTAACTGCGGAAATGATATGTACAATGAGTAATAAGAATGTTGTGTGATAATTCAAACTCAAACTTCTGTGAATTGTTTAAATTTAACAAGAGGGTAAAAGAAACTAAATGGTTCAAGTTAGAGGAATGCTTTTGTTTTGTTTCTCTCTTTGATGTAATTAATTTAATTGTCAAATACAGTTTATTATTATTATAAAAATCGGAATCAAAAAGTAGATTCACTAATCCATAGTAGTATAAATAACTACAGAAAAAACACAAAGGAAAACTCAAAAACAATATTAAACTAAAACCCAAAAGGAGGAAGTCAAAACAGAGAATATCTGCAAAAAAAATGGATTGAGGCTGGAATGAGCCACTTGTCCTAAAAATCTTGAATGTTGATGAAACATCACTCCTCTAGTCAGTAGGACTGGATAATTTTTTCCAGATTGCAGTGTAAAGTTTGGCAAAACCTGACAATAAGGGAGCATTCAGCTTCCAAGTTGAAAATGGCTATATAAACCAAAATACCAAAATAAACATATTTGTAACACTAAGAAAATAAAGTTTAATTTTCATTATGACATGTCAATACAGTTATCCAAGCATACGTATTTGGTTAAATTGACGAAATATTGATATGAAGTGGCCAGCTCATTCCACATGTTGCAATCTGATGGAAAAACTAAGAAAATCTATCAAGGAAAGTCTACAAAAATAATTAGCAATATAATGACAAGAACTTCAGAATAATGTTGGCATGGAATGAAAAATCAATAATTGCACTTTGGAACAGCTTACAGAAAGCAAACCCAACTAAATTTTTCAATATTTAAATCGAAATGAACTTACCTGTAAATATTAAAATTTGATCAAAATTATTTGTAAATTTAAATTATGGATATTTTTTCATTAATGAGATTCTGGATTTCATCACAAAATTTAACCATAAGTTCACTTTTATATTAAATAATAATACAGGAATATGTACATATGATTATTGAATAATATCAAATTTAATGCAGACTATACAAGTCCTTCAAATTCATGAAAAATGAAGGAATTATGTATAATATGTATACACATTAACAATACCATTAATGACAGCAGGATCACTGAAGAAAAGCTGCCACCACATTTTATAAAACAGACAATGTATCATATCAGAAAATGACAATTGCAGATAAAGACCATTTAATCTCTATTCTTAATTCAGTTATATATATCTTATGAATTACTTCATTGATTCTGAAACATTTCTTTACAAATTTTTAATAATTCTTTTTAACAAAATTAGCTTAAGAAGAAAATTTAATTTTAAATATCTATAAGTAACAGAAATTTTTTAAAATTTCTGTTAACAAGAATGATCATTATTACTAACTGATCTTAAACATACTCACCCAAATAAAAACCAATCATAAGCTATAGTCAAAAATGTTATCTCATGACACGTTAAACTTGGATGAACCTTTCCATCAGCCCATAGAGACAATCTCAGAAGAGAAATAAACAGAGGTGTGCGATCCCATCCAGATATACAGTGAATCAAAAGTCCGGATGTACCTGAAAAAATATATATTTTTATAGCAGGCTTCAGTTAAATTCTTTTATATAATAATAACCAAAATTATCAATTATACTTTAATATGTTCTTTGATATTAGGAAAAAATTGTAAAATGTCAAATTCTAAATTTCTAAAGCTTTCATCAAGATTTTTAAAAAATTAATCTGTTATATTAAAATTGGTTTTTGTAAAGAAAATAACTATCCCCAGAACATAAAAATACAATCATCTTATGACCATTTTAACTAAGAAGCTTTCACACAGTTTATATATATATATATTCATATATTCATTTGAAAATTTGAAACTTAAAAAATAAAAACTTCTGAAAAATAACTTTGGTTTTTGATTGACAAATAAGGTCTACTGCAACTTTATAGAAAATGCAAGAATAGAAACATGTGATCATTGTTTAATAATGACAAGTATCCAGTCTGCATGTGCAAATCTCAGTTTATTGTGTTACGTCACTGCAAAATTCACTCAAGTTTAAACAAATTTGTCAACTTCATTCCACATGAAGTAGAGTCCAGTGATTGAATTTTTAGCATTAAAATGTATTAAAATAGTACGAAAGTTGAGATCCATATCCGTGAATCTAGACACTAATGATCCGTATCTGTATCCGTGGATATACATTTTTTATGATCTGGCACATCACTGTTTGAGATGGATGGATGGATGGATGGATGGATGGATGTACACCTTGCCGGGGACAGCTATCACTGGCTGAGTGCTGCAGAGATGTTCATTGGCTGTTGACAAAGGAGGAGTCTCCAGCCAGTGCTGTTAGTAACGGTGGAAGGTTTTTATCAAAATTTAAATACTTCTGGAAGCAAAGGCTGGCTTGGGGTCTGGGTGGCACAATTGGTAGCGCACCGCACAGCAAGCAAAGGCTGCAGATTCAAGCCCCACCCTGGGTCAGTTATTTTCTTCCAGAAAATAACTAGAGATAAGCATTAGGTGCCATCATTTATCTAAATTAATAATTATAATTTTAATAATTATTAATTTAGATAAATGATGGCACCTAATGCTTATCTCTAGTATCAAATTTGTAATAATACTAGCAGACCCCTCCACGCCTTGTTGTGGCTCAAAATGTATCTATTATAAATGTATAACACTTCCCCCGTGGGGAAAATTTTTTGAGAATTTTTTTCTTAGTGTACATTCTGTTGACGTACTCTATTAAAACGCAATCAAAAGCGCAAAAACCCGCATCTAAAATAGTATAATAGAAGCCAAGTTTTTCAGAGTAAGCCTTAATCCTGTCCTTCTCCCCCGCGGGGGGAATATCGAATCATCCCTTCTTAGTGTACGTTCTGTTGACGTACTCTATTAAAACGCAATCAAAAACGCAAAAA